ACCACTAGGGCCACCTTGGAAGCCTTGGAGCAAAATGGCAGCCTGGGCTTTGGAGAAAGATAAGACTCAAATCCCTGCTCCTGCTCTAATTAGCTTTATGACCTTCCATAATAGCTCCATCACAAATAGAAATAATAGTACATACCTAATAGGGTAATTACAAAGATTAAACACGATAAGGTATATATGTATTTGAAGTTTTCAAGGTCATTGCCTGCTCTGAAAGATACTAACAAGATTATATATGTGGACAATGCAATTTGTAACATAATTTGTGACATTTCCACAAAATAATTCTGTCAAGATTTCAGAGTGTTGTTAATTATTGTGTAAAACAAATCACCCTAAAATGCAGTGACTTCAAAAAGCACATATTTATTAACTGGTAGTTTCTGTGGGTCAAAAACTCGGATGTGGTTTAATTGGGTATTTCTGACTCACTGTCTCACTTGAGACTGTAATAAAACTGCTAGGGCTGAACTCTTACCTGAAGTCTTTATTCAGTGGTTGAGGAATCCATTTTTTAAAAAAATATTCTTGTGGTAACTATACATAAAATTTACTATTTTAATCCACTTTAAGAGTACTGTTCTGTGTCGTTAAATACATTCACATTGTTGTGTAACCATCACCACCATCCAACTCCAGAACTTTTTCATCCTCCCCACCTGAGACTCTGTATGGATTAGATATTAACTGTTTTCCCCACCGCACCCCTCAGCCCCTGGCAACGATGATGCTCCTCTCTGTCCCTTTGACTCTGACCTCTCCAGGTGGCTCAGTGGTAAAGAATCCGCCTGCCAACGCAAGAGATACAGGAGACACAGTTTCAATCCCTGGGTCAGGAAGATCCCCTGCAGAAGGAAATGGCAACCCACTCCAGTATTCTTGCTTGGAGAATCCCCATGGACAAAGGAGCCTGGTGGGCTACAGTCCATGGGGTCACAAAGAGTCAGACATGACTAAGCATGTACACAGGTACCTCATATACGTGGGATCATAGGATATTAGCCCTTTTGTGACTGGCTTATTGCAGTTAGCATAATGTCCATGTGGTAGCATGTGTCAGAACTGTCTCCCTTCTTATGGCTGAATAGTATTTTATTGTCTGCAAACACCAGGTTTTACTTATCCATTCAACTGTCAGTGGACACTTGGGCTGATACAAACTATATACGAACAAGTCTCAAATGCCAACCAGCCATCTGCACACAGCCCTGCCTGTTCTGCTTCTCAATTCCCGACTAGAACTCTGGGCTCTGCACTCTCAGCCTCCCTATCTACCTTCACCCTTCCTCACCTGGAGTGTGTCCTTCCCAAGCTCTGATCCATGGGTAAGACCAACTAACTTAAGGATCTGCCCAGCCCTTCCCTACATTTAGGGATGGTCCCTATGCTGATCCTGGGTACTTAACATCTTCACCCTGGTTGTACTGTTCTTTCCTGTCTCAGGCTAGGATATCACTTTCTTTGGAGATTAATCACTGCCCATACAGTCCCCACAGATAATAGGACACTTTGGACCAAACAGGGACCCCCATATATTTCCTGTCTCACCACCAATATTAATCCCCCAGGCCCATTCTTCACCACTTGATACCCAATATTGCATAAATTACTTCAGCATTTTGTAAGTGATAAACCACCTCCTTCTTTTAAATTATTATAACGTCCACTCTACAGATAAGAAAAATGAGGCTCATTGAGGTTAAGAGAACTGCCCAAGTTCACACAGCAGTAACAGAAAAACTCCACACAGTTACCACTGAGTTTCCCGGATGTCCTGAGTGGTATGTGATCTTTTTTTTTTTTTTTCAGGCTGAAAGCCTACTGGGATGACCACAATTTACAGGGATCTGTCTTTCTTACTCTGCTCTGCACTCACCCAATACAACCCATCCCCAAATGTACAGAGCCACTACCTAGGACAGCTAAAGACAGGAGATGAAATGCCTGTGATACTATAGTCCTGTGGCATCAACTACCCTACCTTCACTGAAACAACCAGAGGAAGATATCTGATCAAGCAAAGGTAGTAAGACTGCCTCTCTTGTGGGCTCTGCTCTCCAAATCTGTGACCCCATGGACTGGGGCCCACCAGGCTACTCTGTCCATAGAAATTTTCTAGGTAAGAATATTGGAACAGGTTGCCATTTCCTACTCTACAGGATCTTCCCAACCCAGGAATCAAACCTGCATCTCTTCCATCTCCTGCATTGGCAGGTAGATTCTTTATCACTGCGCCACCTGGGAAGCCCTTGGAATTGGAGCATTAAAATGTAAAAGGACTCAGATGGCAGAACTGTAAGGTTACGCAGAGATGGGGTTGGAGTTAGTGGTCTGGCAAGTCCAAGTTATGTGGGAAGCAAGGCTGTATCTTGATAGAGGTAGGGGAGTGCACTGGTTAGGTATCCAGACTGGAAGTAAGCTGCCTGGATTGGATCATGGCTCCCACTTACCAGCTGCAGGATTTGGGAGAGGTAGCTTCGCCTTTACATGACTCAGTTTTCTCATCTGTAAAATGGGGAAACAAACAGTATTCAACTCCATGCACTGTTGTTATAATGAAATGAACGAATACCCACCAAGGTCACAACGTGGGCACACCACACACGCTGGGAACTGCCCGCTGCCGTTAGTCCAGAGCTGAGATGGCACCCAGAGCTCCGGAGACCCAAGGATGGAGCAGCTCCCTGCGACTTTCCAGGTCCCAGCAGGGCTGCCAGGACTCAGAGCACTTTATTTCAACCACTGAAATGTTTCCCCAGAAAGCAAGAGATTTCCTACCGTATTTTACCTAATTTATCTCCCACGAAAGGGCTTTTAAGAATCATACACCACATTGATTTGGAAGTTTTATTCTTTTTATTGCAAATTTCTGGTAAAGGAAAGTACAGGGAAGCTGATTCTCATTTAAACTTTGGTGAAGAGAGGACATGGAGATTGGGGACTCAACACGTGAGTCACCTGGGGGCCTCTGACACATGAGGCTGCCTGCATCCCCTTCCAGAGGTTCTGACTTAGTTGGTCTGGGGGAGCAGCCCAGGCACTGGTCACTTTTGGAAGTGCCCAGGTGATTTCAATCAGCCAGAGGGAGAATCCCTGCCGAACTCCCGATGTGGGGAAAAGAAGCATCACCCAGTCACGTCACCCCTTGACCTCAGTCCTGCCAGTTCCCCTCCTCCCAGATGTGACATGTGCTGATTCCTCCTCCTCAGGGCCCCCAGAGGAGAGAGATGCTTGAGGAGCCGTGGCTGTCTGTGCTGTGGTCTGTGCTTAAATCAGGAGAACTACATAAACACGGCTACTCGATCACAAAGAGAAACTCACTTTCTGATTGCAAAAGAGCATTAAACTTTTTGTTTTTTCATTGTTAAGTGGAAGCAGTCTTCCTGAATAGAGATGGGGAGATTTGTGACAAAATAAGGACATATATGTTGGATGACATATTCTTTGTATGACTTCTCAGGTACAAATTAAAAACAAAATTTTTGTCAAGCCATTGAGGGTAAACCATTATGTACTTTAGCAGCATAATTTATATGGGTAAACAGTAATAGCCAGTTACAGATTTCATTTACAATTTATTCTAAAATAGAAAATGCTTTAATTTTCCTGAGTCCTTGGCAGACAAAAAAAAGTTTTTAAAATTTTCAAAGTATTCCTGTTTCCTTTTTCTTGGGCACCCTCACAGTTTGGAACGGCATGTGTCTCACTGTTAGTTTTTACATATATAGGTGAACAGATACCACTGGTGCCAATTTCCAATGACTAATCAAATATGGCGATTGAAAATAAAACACCCATCATCTACGAAATTGCTCAAAATGAACATTTCTTGACATCGTTATAAATGCAGTATCAATTTGATTTTCTGGACATACAAAAGTATGAATTTCTATTCCATTAATGATACTGAATGATTAACATCTTAACAGTGATAAAATTTTTAAAACATTTAAAAAATACATAGGATCCCGTTTTTACATCATAATTCTGATGTACTATTGTGCCTTCTATTTTGTCTGCAGAACTTCTATAGGGTACAGTGCACTGATGTGATAAAACCAAGGCACAAGAATACAGTTACAATAAATGTATATAAACCTTTAGCACTCTGTGCCAATTTTGGAAAAATTTAGAGAGGAGATCAAAAAGCTTGAAAAATTTTCACATCCCATGTGATTAATGAACAATCAATTACATAATAAACAAGCTATTACCACCATTCCATTATTGAATATATGGCTATCACTATATAGGCTGTGGATAATTGAAAAAAGCTTTCAGTATTAAAACCTGGTATAACTAGGTGGTTGATACAGATAATTGTGCCTTGCATTATCTAGATAACTGTCTTAAGTTTCCATTTTAATTTGTAATCTACATGGCAGTTGTCAATTTTTAAACTATTTTCACTATAAGTGGTAGATTCTTTTCCCAAATGTTAAATCCCCTCCCTCTACAAAAGACAAAAGATTTACAAGAAGGGAACCAATATAAGAAATGCACAGACAACAATAATAAAATCCAAATATGGACTCAAAGGTTGAATTCTAATCCATCAAAACATTCTCTTAATTTAGAGTGAGGAGCAACACATTCCCAAGATGATTCATTAGTTTCTTAATTTAAAAAAATCACCATGACATTTTCAAGAGTAAAGTCTTGGCTAGAGAGCATCACGAATCAAAGGGAAACTGTTAAGTCTTTTCATTCATAAAATGAAGGGGATAAAAGCCTTTTAAAATCCAGGGAGGGGAGGCTATTTGCTTGAATTTAGGTAAGTGGAATAAAGTGGTAAAAACTGTATGTAATACTTTTAAAGAAGAGTGTTTTCAAGACTCAAGGTAAACATTTAGACCCATGAAAACACATTTCTTGGCACATGCACGCCATAAACGGAACAATCCTGAATGTAGTGACAGCCTGGCTACAGAGGTATCCAGCTTCTGGCCCCACTGGCAAAACCGCCTTTGAAGTCCATGTCCCGAGTCCCTTCACATGGGAGCTTCTGGCTTCTGCATCTGTTGGATTTGCTTCTGTAGCTGGTCCTTGTCCAGCTTCATCTTGGCTTCGAGAACTTGCCTGAGGGATCCTATGCTTTCATAGATGGCGGTAAACCCTTTAAGAAAGGGTAAATTTCACAAGAGTTAATATTAAAAAAAACAAATAATGCTGTATCAAATCCTATAGCAGATAGCACTGCTTGATTTGGGCAAAAATTATCAATAGATTCTCAAAGTACTGGAATAAAAGGCTAACAGGAAACAGAATAGTTACATAGTTTCAAAGTGTCTCACTACAGATACAAAGGGAAACATGAAATATTACCATAGAGAAATATGACAGACACCACTTTAACCAAGGGTCAAAGCTATCTTCACCAACAGTGGGAGGATCCAACATTATGTGCCCCCGATGAGAAAACCCCAGGAAGAAGTCTGGGCTCTGCACGCTAAGACAGATCACTTCAGCACTGTCTGCACATAAGTGCTCTCTGACCCAAGAAGCTAAATTCTGTGACTCCATTAGTAGGATGCTCATGTTTTCTTTCTTCACACTGATTTTGGAGGAGGGATTTCAGTACTACCTCATGACATCATTACTGGAAGTAGAGTCCTTCAGTTTCAATCTGCTAAAAGATCAAGTCCTGAGCCTCTGGAGTGGGAGCACTGACTCTAAGACCCTAGACTTTCAGAGAACTCCTAACCCTAGGGAGTATCAAATAGTGAGAACTCCTACAAAGGAAACCACTTGAACACAAGACCTGACATCACCCAACCACCAGTAGCACCCTGTGCAGGACGCCTCATCCAAACAACAGACAAGACAAAAATACAAACCCAATCATCAGCAGACAAGATTACCACCTCACTCAGCCCTGCCCATCAGAGAGGGAAAAAAAAACTCAGCACAAATCTCACCCTATGTGAAGCTTACACAAAACACTGGACCAAATTTAGGAGGGGAGAAACCAAAAGGAAGAAAGAATTCAACCTTGAAACCTAGGAAAAAGGGACCTCAAACAATAAGTTTTTTTAAAAAATAATGAAAAGCAGAGAAATACTGCACAATTGAAGGAACAAACACGAAACACAGAAGTCCAAATAAATGAAGAGGAAATAAGCAAACTCCCTGAAAAAGAATTCAGAATAACGATAGTAAAGATGATCAGAAACCTTGAAAACAGAAAGGAGAAAATGCAAGAATCAGCTAACAAAGACCTAGAAGAATTAAAGAACAAGCATACAGAGACAAACAACACAATTACTGAAATTAAAAATTCTCTAGAAGGAATCAGTAGCAGAATATCTGAAGCAGAAGGATGGACCAATGAGCTGGAAGATAAAATGGTAGAAATAACTGCTGAAGAGCAGAATAAAGTAAAAAGAATGAAAAGAGCTAAGGATAGTCTCAGAGACCTCTGGTAAGATATTAAAGGCACCAACATTCAAATTATAGGGGTCCCAGAAGAAGAGAATAAGAAATTGTATAAGAAAATTTTTGAAGAGATTATAGTTGAAACTTTTCCCAACATGGAAAAGGAAAGAATCAATCAAGTCCAAAAAGCGAAAGAGTCCCATACAGGATAAACCCAAGGAGAAACACGCCAAAACACATACTAGTCAAACTAACAAAGGTTAAACACAAAGAAAGAATATTAAAAGCATCAAGGGAAAAGCAACAAGTAACATACAAGGGAAACCCCATACACTTAACAGCTGATCTTTCAGCAGAAACCCTGCAGGCCAGAAGGGAGTGGCAGGATATAATTAAAGTACTGAAAGAAAAAACCCTGGGAAGGACACATCACTTCTGCAGCATGTCTGTCCAAAACACACAACCTGAATCGAATTAAAAAGAAGCAAAAAGACCCAAACGGTGGGACGTTTCACGAAATACTGGCCTGTGTTCTTTAATGACAACTTTACTGTGAAACTGATCCAGATTAAAAGAGACTAAATAAGAAACATGGTAACTAAATATGATGCAAGTGATTCTGGACGAGAACCTGGACTGGGGATGGCTTGCTGTAAAGGAAACATGGTGAAATTTGAAAATTGAATATTGAAAAATGTTTCATAAATAGTACCTTGTACTACACTTGTTTAGGGCTTCCCCTAGTGGCTCAGTGGTAAAGAATCTGCCTGGCAATGCAGGAGATGAAAGTTCCATCCCAGTGTTGGGAAGATCCACTGAAGACGGAAATGGAAACCCACTCCCGTATTCTTGCCTGAGAAATCCCATGGACAGAGAAAACTGGCAGACTACAGTCCATGGAGTCAAAAAAGAGTCGGATACAACTTAGTGACTGAACAACATAGTTGTTTAAGAGAATGTCCTTGGCTGATTTATGTCGATGTATGGTAAAAACCACCACAATATTGTAAAGTAATTATCCCCCAATTAAAACAAATAAATAAACTTTTTAAAAAAGAGAATGTCCTTATTCTGAGGGTATATACTTTGAAATAGTAAAGGGGTAAAAAGGTATTCTGGCTTCTGCAACTTACTCACGAATGATTCAGGGAAAACTATATTCATTCACATTCACACATACATATACATTAAGCAAATTTCAAAATGTTAACAATTGCTGAATCTAATTGAAAAATGTATAGTTTTTGGACTAGTCAGCAACCCACTCCAGTATTCTTGCGTGGAAAATCCCATGGACTGAGGAGCCTGGTAGGCTACAGTCCATGGGGTTGCAAAGAGTCAGGCACGACTGAGCTACTTCACTTCACTTTACTACAGTTTTTATAAATTTGAAACTACTTCAAAATAAAAAGCAAAATAGAAAAAAATTCTCAATAAAATTTATATTATTCTGTATTTCTATTGGCTTTTAACATCTTATTTACCAGAGAGGTATTAATATGTCTTTTGTTACCCAAATATTACAGACTGAAGACATATCAATATTCACTTCCATTACAAATCACCAGACACAAGTGTTAGTTTCTGCAAAACACTCCCAGTCAATAATATGTTAAAATAAATGTCAAAATTATCTTGTCTTCCTTAGCAAATTTAGAATTTTCTCTCAGAAAATTTTCTTTATGCAACAATTAAAGAAAAAGAAGTATAAAAATTACTTATTGAATATTCCCTAGCAGATCTGTAGTTAGGATTGGACACTTTCACTGCAGAGGGCCCCAGATTAATCCCTGGTCGGAGAATTAAGGTACCCCAAGTCATGTGGCACAGCCAAAATAATATATATATATCCTATATGTATAGAAAGATAATATACATAAAAAAGACTTCTGGATAATAGAAGGGCTTTTTAAAATACATTTTGTGTTTTAAGATTTTCCACTAAGAAATCTGTTCTCATAACAAGAAAATGTTTTTAATTTTTAAAAGGCTCATATGTATTTCTTATCACCATCTCATTAACCACCAATGAAATAGTCAAATATCATATTCTACTAGCCCAAAATACCAAGAAAGAAAATTCACTTTTATCTCCACAAAGTTCTAAAATTGGTAAATTTAATGGCAGCTTCTCCTTAAATAAAATAATTAACTTGCAATGGTTAAATAAGTATTAGCCATTTAGTTGTGCCCAACTCTTTGAGACCCCGTCATAGTTACAACAAAATTATTCTTGGGATGGGGCTACTTTTCTTCTTAGGGGGCCAAAATAGAACAACTCCATGAAGAAAATTCACAGAACCAGAGGAACAGGAAGGAATCAGGAGATAATGTAGCTCCCCTTCCCATACTACCCGACTGTCTTCTCTTCCCTGACCATGGTCAAATGGCCTTCACTTAAATACTTTGAGTAAAGAACTCCCAGGCTCACAAAGCACCCGTGTCTTTCTAAGACTTCTAACGGTAGATACTTCTGCTGCATAATATGTCTTCAGGTAACTTCCGATTATTGGTCCCAGTTCTGTATTCTAGAGTTCAGAGTATAAATCTAATCCCTCTTGGGACTTCCCTGATGGTGCAGTGGTAAGACTCAGAACTCCCAATGCAGGTGGCCTGGGTTCAATTCCTTGTCAGGGAACCACATGCCACAACTAAAAGATACTGCAAGCTGCCACCAAGACTTAGAGCAGCCAAATAAATAAATATTTAAAATGTAAATCTAATCCCTCCTTTATCTGGCAGCACTTTGGAACTTGAAATCAGCTCTGACACTGTCTTCCAAACAAGTGTGAAGACTGAGCCCTGTGGGCTTCTGAGCAGAGGAACACCATTCACTGCCATGGTGGGATACTGCCAGCAGGATAAAATAAGCCTTTGAAGGCCTCTCAAAGATATATGCTTATTTCTGAGGCATACTGACCTTGGTTATGATCAGAAAAGAATCTGCAGATGGCACTAAAGCTATGTATGCAAGCTAAGCGATTTTAGGTTTGTTCGCCTGTCTCTCGAGGTCTATCTGTCTTCATGTCCTTGAAGTTGAAGCAACATTAGTTCTACTTGGAAAATTACCTAAGGACATTCCATTATCCAGGTCTGTAGGTAGTTATAGGGGGAATACTAATTAGTTGACTTTTAGATCATACAGAAAATGAAGCACGAGAGCTGTTTTCTTATTGACCTACCCGCATCAACCTCGGCTTTCATTTCCTTCAGGTCTTCGGTCATCTGTAACTCAAGCTTGCTGATCCGTCCATGCACCTTCTCCTCCTCTTGTTTTGTCCTCTGTACCTCCATATTTTTCTTCTGACTCTCTTCTATTTTGTCCAGTCTGGCTGACATCTGGCTGAGCTTTTTCTCCATGTCCCTTTCACTGGCTCCCTGAGATCCATGATAAGAATGGTACGTGATTACTCCAAAGAGTCTGTATTGCATTCACATCAGTCATAATATCATTTAAGAGCAATCTGCAGAGAACAGAATCAAAAAGTTTGCTTGATGCTCACCCCAATATCCACTTTCCCCTTTTTCCATAACAGATCTCCAGTTTTCTGCTGGGTATAAGGTCACTCAGAATAAAGATTACCTTTTCTATTGTCTCTTGAGTTTGGTGTAGCCATATGATTAAGTTATGGGTAATGAGATATAAGTATAAACATATGTGGCAACTTCTAGGAAAAGTTAAAAAAACAAAAATAGTTGAGACATAAATAAAAAACCTCTTTCTTTCTTCTGTTCCTGGAATTCAGATGTAATGGCTGGAGCTCTAGCAGCCATCTTGAACTGTGTATGCAAGGGTCACTCTCTAGGACTGGTATAGACTTAAGCCAGAAAGATCATGGGTCACTGAGGATTGATGAGCTACCACAACAGCCCTGCAATCCCTGTACCCAGACTTCTTTTATGTGAAAGATAAATAAGCTTCTATCATATTAAAGTCACCATTATCCTGGAGTTTGTTAGTTATTAAGCCAACTCAGAAGTGAAAATAGTGAACCAAAGACACAGAAGACTACAAATCAATCAGTAGATCTGATAAAAATATGGAGACATGTAAAGAAATAGTTGAAATAGAACATTTTCTTTCCTTTTCTCTCCATCATGCTTGGTTCTTATGAGAATCTGGGTCTGCAGGCAAGCTTTAGAGGCCAGGACTACAAATACCAAGCTGTAAGTGGGCTTACATATCTCGTGATATGCCCAGTGCACAGTCTGCAATTCAACAGCTCGGCATCAAGAAACAGCAGAGCCAGAGATACAATCTACACCAGTCACTTATGCTCCATCCAAGTCCAAGGGAGAGGAAGCAGTGCAAGAAAAGAGAAGGAGAGGGAGGTCAGTCTAGATAACCAAATCAAAAAACATTTGCTTTCCAAGTACTGATATGAATACTATAAGTGCAAGGCTTTCTTGGTATGGTTTTTGAGTACTTCTGCAAACCTTAGGCCTACAGGAGAGTGGGGTGAAATGAGAAGGAACACAGAAAAGAAAACTGGATTCTGTTTAGATGTTGCCCTGTGACACCTCATGCTGGGTTTATTGTGTGATAGAGGGGCCTGGAGGGAGAAATCTAGTCAAAGTGGCTTTTACCAGACCATGAAATTAAAACTAAGATGAAGTATGTAATTGCTATTTTTATTTAGAAATGCAGCTGGACAACTTGGTTCTTTAAGATCTTGATTTCGATTTGTCTTAGTTGAAAGTACTGAAATTTTCTATTATTTTTCTTTGTTAACCAAAACAAGTCAAAGTGCTCTGTCTCTTTATAACAAAGAATCAGTATGAACCATAGAAAGAGATTATAAGGCAAGAAACAACCATTAACAGCTTAATGTAATGCTAAATAAATCAAACATAAGTTACAGGGTATTATTCAAACATTGCAGGTCTCACCGAATAACTTAACTATGTTATGGTTGAACATCAACACCTACACTGTTTTCCTTAACAACCAAGGAAAGCTGGTCGATTTTCTGCAAAAGTTCTTTTTCTATCCGTTCTTGTTCCTGTTGCAACCAATTCCGTGCAGATAAAATCTGGTTACTGAGTTCCTCGACTGTACCTTTAAATCTAAAATAAGAAAAATTAGCTGTTAGATACAAAACAACTTTAAAATGACATCAAACAATCTCAGTCTCTATCAAATCTCTTGGAAATATGTAAGCACTAAATTCAGTTCACTCAGAATTACATGTTTACCTTTTTCATAGAATTGCACTTGGCACTAAATTGAGAAAGAAGAAGAGGAGGATATAACAGAAAAGCACCTGATAATACCCCCACCTATATAGACCTGGTAGCGTGAGTACCAAGGACCCACTCCAAATGCTGACGTTTGCAGTTTAAAAGGTCCAGGCTACTCCCGGCTCAAAGGACACAGTGGCCTGGCTCTCTTCTAGGCTCCTCCTTCTTCTCCATCTTTTCTCCCAGGACTGGAGCCTGGATCCCGTTCTCTCTTATGTTCTGCAAACTGCTCTTGTCCCATACAGATATTTCTTAGTTTAAATCAAACAGAAAATTTTTTAAAAACTCAAATTTCCATTCCTATAGTCCTCTCCCTTTCCAAATACCTTAAAATAACATCCCACACTTGCTGCCTCCCCATTTGAATTATTTTTATTATAAAAACAATAAAAGTACACAAGAATATATGTGACTTAACAATAAAAACAATAAAATGTACCCCCCTCCATGGTTCAGTTCAGTTCAGTTCAGTCACTCAGTCGTGTCCGACTCTTTGCGACCCCATGAATCTCAGCACGCCAGGCCTCCCTGTCCATCACAAACTCCCAGAGTTTACTCAAACTCATGCCCATCGAGTCGGTGATGCCATCCAGCCATCTCGTGCTCTGTCGTCCCCTTCTCCTCCTGCCCCCAATCCCTCCCTGCATCAGGGTCTTTTCCAATGAGTCAACTCTTTGCATCAGGTGGCCAAAGTATTGGAGTTTCAGCTTCAGCATCAGTCCTTCCAATGAACACCCAGGACTGATCTCCTTTAGGATGGACTGGTTGGATCTCCTTCCAGTCCAAGGGACTCTCAAGAGTCTTCTCCAACACCACAGTTCAAAAGCATCAATTTTTTGGCACTCAGCTTTCTTCACAGCCCAACTCTCCCATCCATACATGATCACTGGAAAAACCATAGCCTTGACCAGACGGACCTTTGTTGGCAAAGTAATGTCTCTGCTTTCTTTTTTTTATGTTTCTGCTTTTTAATATGCTTTCTAGGTTGGTCATCACTTTCTATCCAAGGAGTAAGGAGTCACCATCTGCAGTGATTATGGTATTAGTCCCCAATTCTCTGCAATATCTCTTCTCCTCTTCTTCCCTACTAAGAAACCCTCAAATGTGATCTGAGTCTGCAACTACCTAGTTAAGACTACACTTAGCCTTCCTGGCAGCTGTGTGTGGCCATATGACTAAGTCAGGCAATGGAACATGCATTGAAGTGATAAGTACACTTCCTGGTCATATCATCAAAAACAAAGCTTCTCAGTCTTACATGGGCAGGAAGTCAAGCCAGCAGCCCTGCCCAACTGTGGAGACCCACCTGACCTGGGGGCCTGACCACGGAGCACAGCAGCTTTTATGAGTTCATTTATTCTAACAGTTCTTTGAGGGAGTCTTTAGAGTTTTCTCTATAATATCTGCAAGCAGGGATAACTTTGCTTCTTTTTTTGTTTTGAATGTCTTTCATTTCTTTTTCTTGCTTAATTGCTCTGGCCAGGACTTCCAGCACTATGTTGAACAGAAGTGCTGACAATGGGTATCCTTGTCTTCTGATATTAGAGAAATAACTTTCAGAATATCATCACTGAGTATTATATTAGTTGTGGGCTTGTCATATGTGCCTTTATTATGTTGAGATACATTCTTTCTATTAATATACTCAAATTGTTGAGAGTCTTTATTATGGTGTTGAATTTTGTCAAATGTTTCTTCTGCATCTGAGATGATATCGTTTTTATCCTTCATTCTGTTAATGTGACGTATCACACTGATTGACTTGTATACATTGAAACATCCTTGCATCTCAGGAATAAATTCCACTTGATCATGGTGTATGATTCTTTTAAAATGCTGTTGAATTGGTTTGTTAGCATTTGCATCTATGTTCATCAGAAATATTGGTCAGTAATTTTCTTTTCTTGTAGTGTCTATCTGGTTTTGTTATCAGAATAATGCTCCTCATAAAATGAGTTTGGAAGTGTTTTCTTCAACTTTTTGGAAGAGTTTGAGAATGATTGGTATTAATTCTTCTTTAAATATTTGACAGAATTCACTCATGAAGCTATCCAGTCCTCGACTTTTTCTTTGTTTAGAGGTTTTAGTATGTTGATTTAATCTCCTTACTCATCATTGGTCTGTTCAGATTTTCTATTTCTTCATGATTCAGTCTTAGAAGGTTGTTTCAGAAGTTTATTCATTTCTTCTAAGTTATCCAATTTGTTGACATACAATTGTTCATAGCAGTCTCATGATCCTCTGTATTTCTGTGTTGTCTGTTGTAGTAGTTCCTTTTCCATTCATAATTTTATTTATTTGAACCCTCTTTTTGTTTTGGTTAGTCTAGAGAAAGTTTTGTCTGTTTGGCTTGATAGTTACTTTTTTTTATTTTCCCCCAATTTTTTTCTGTTGTTTACTATTCTCTCATTTATTTCTGATCTATCTTAATCATTTCCTTCTTCCAGCTATCTTGGGCTTAATTTGTTCTTCTTTTTCTAAAATTCCTTGAGGTATAAAGTCAGGTTGTTTATTCAAGGTCTTTCTTTTTTCTTAATGTAAGGATTTAACACTGCAGATTTCCTCCCAGAACTGCCTCTGTGGCCTCCCATAGGTTTTGGTGGACTTCCCTGGTAGCTCAGATGCCTGCAATGCAGGAGACCTGGATTCAATCCTGGGGTTGGGAAGATCCCCTGGAGGAGGGAATAGCAAACCACTCCAGTATTCTTGCCTGGAGAATTCCACAGAGAAGCCTGGTGGGCTACAGTCTATATATGCTGTGTTTCCATTTTCATTTGTTTCAAGATTTTTTAAAATCTCCCTTTTGATCTTCTTTGACCCACTAGTTGTTCAGGAATGTGTTGTTTAATTCCACATATTTGTGAGTTTTTCAAATTTACTCCTGTCATTAATTTTTAGTTTCATACCACTTTAGTTTGAAAAGCTACTTGACATGATTTCAATCTAATTTCTTACGACTTGTTTTGTTGCCTAATATATGATCTATCCTGGGAATGTTCTATGTGTACTTCAGAAGAGTATGTATTCTGCTGCTGTTGGATGAGATATTCTATATCTGTCTGTTAGGTCTCTAGTTGGGCAGGGCTATTGCCCATGCTCTGAAGTACAGGTGGAAGGAGACTGTTGGCTGGGCTCAATGGTCAAGTGAATCTACTGGCTGGACTCCGAGGGTAGGCAGGGCTGCTGGCTGGGTTGCACAGTCAAATGGAGCCACTAACTGGACTCTGCCATTCCCTCTGGTCAGGTGGGGTCACTGTGTTCCCTGGTAGGGTGGTTGGACCCCCATGATAGGGCTTCAGGCTCCACAATTGGGCAGCCTACTAGCTGCGCACCACTGGTAAGGAAGGTCACTGGCCAGAATCCCTGGTCAGGCAGGGCCACCAGCTGTCCTGTGAAGTCAAGTGAATCTGCAGGCTGTGTTTGTGGTCGAGTGGGATTGCTATCTGGGCTCCCTAGTCATGTAGGGTCACAGGGTATGTTCTGCTCTTAGGAAGTGCTGTCTGTTGAATTCCTTGCTAGGGCAAGGCCAAAGGCTCTGCTAAGCAATAAAGTGGGGTAATAGGCTAGGTTCCACTTCTAGGTAGAGTTATAGGCTGGACTCCAAGGCACCTGGGTCACTGTTAGGCTCCCTGGTCAGGGAAGTTACATTTTATTTTCAATGACTATATTTTCTAGAAGCCCAATTTCGTTGTTTGTCAATTCTGACTTTTTATAATTTGGCCACACCATGTGGCTTGTGGGATTTTAGTTCCCCAACTAGAGATTGAACCCAGGCCCTCAGCAACAAGAGCACAGAGCCCTAAACACTGGGCTACCAGGAAATCCCCCTGACTGTTCATTTTCGGTAAGCTCTTATTCCTTAGCCATATTTTCAAAAAGTGTGTGTGTGAATACTCACACATACACATACATACATATATACACACACATTCATTTTATCCTATAATTCCTATATATGCAGTATTTAGGAGTCTGATTCTGCTTATTGTTGCTTCTTCTCACTCTATTACTTATGTGATTTTTTTTCCTTGTGTTGGTCTATAATTTCTGATTTACATTTATGTTTCTTAGAACTTAATCTGCCTGTGGGGAGCCTTGAAGACTGCATATTTGTATTTGCTTCTGCCAGGCATCTTAGGCTACTACCAAACAGAGATCATTCTAAGATAAAATATCTATTCTGGTTTCTTCAAGGTGGTTGGGTAATGTGAATTCCAAGTCTAAATCCACATAAAGGTTGTACTGTAGTTTAGAATTTTTTAGAAATATCTCTTACACTTCTACTCAGAATCAAGACTGAGACAGGTAAGCTTCTTTATGAATTCTCTGCAGAATGTTTCTTCCCCTAGTTCATCCAACTAGGGTTCTATCTTTGGGTCTCTAACCTGTCTTTCTCCCCCACAAAGGCCCCAGGCTTAGTAACCTTTCCTCTGTGAACAGCCTTTGTGTCTAGACTTCTGGACTTTAAATTGTAAGAAGAAAAATTAAGATGTTCATGTCTGCTGACTAGTAATATCTGCTAAGGAGAAAATTCACAGAAAAAAAAATACTAATATGTTTATTTTCTTCCTGTACGAAGGAAGGAAGGGGATGGGAGATCTTTCTGCACTTGGGAAGCTTGTAGGATCTATGAGAAAGAGTGACATAACTCAGGAATGATATAAATACAGATAATTAGAGGAAAGGAAACATGGTTTCTGTAAGGGAATTCCTGTTAAATCATCAATGACCTTGAAGTAGTATTAAGCATGGAGATAATGAGATAGAAGAATGATTAATTTAAAATTTCCAGAGACTTCCCCTGGCAGTGCAGTGGTTAAGACTCTGAGCTTCCACCACAGAGGTAACAGGTTCGACCCCTGGTCAGGGAACTAAGGTACCATATGCCGCATGGTGTGGCCATAAAAATAATAATGATAATAAAAAATTGTCACAAATTTCTAACAAAGTCATCTTCTAAAAACTGTAATAGTCAAATACAAACACACACAAATAAACATATATGGTCACTAGGGGATCTGCTTTGGCAGGAAATTTGCCAAGCTTATGAAGATTCGTGACAGAGAAAAGTTTATGGTTCTATGATTGAGCAGAAGAGCAGCAGATGAGTTTCGCTGGGGGCAAATCCAGTTTAAAGTGTCACTGAAACACAATGCAAAGTATAACACCATACAGTGTCCTAACTAGACAGCTCAGCTTCCCCCAGCACAGACCTCTCTCATCTAAATGCCTACAGTGCCTCCAATCCACAACTCGGCTTCAGCCCTTGTGATCCATCTTCCAACTGCAATCAAGACCATTTTAAAAAATAACATAAATTTGACTATATCACCCTACCTGCTTAAAATCCTTCAATGGCTTCTTATTGCTCTAGGGAAAGAAACAGGAAGTCCTGACTGTGTGAAGTCCTTATGCTTCTTCTCTGGCCTCATTCCCCGCCCTCAGGCTCTGTCCCAGCCCCCTCTACACTGCATATCCTGCACGTCACACTTCTCCTGCAGCTGGGTCCTCACTGCACTGTTCACTTTGTTGTTCAGTCACTAAGTCAAACCCAACTCTTTGCGACCCTATGGACTGTAGCATGCCAGGCTCCTCTGTCCTCCACTGTCTCCTGGAGTTTGCTTAAACTCTGTCCATTGAATTGGTGATGATATCTAACCATCTCCTCCTCTGCTGCCGCCTTCTCCTTTTGCCTTCAATCCTTCCCAGCATCAGGGTCTTTTCCAGTGAGTTGGCTCTTCACTTCAGGTGGCCAACATACTGGAGCTTCAGCTTCAGCATCAGTCCTTACAATGAATATTCAGGATTGATTTCCTTTAGGATTGACAGGTTTGATCTTGGATTCACTATTCCAAGGGCTAGTGAATGCCATTCTTCAGCTCTCATTCAGAACACCACCTCCTCAGGAAGGCCCTACAACCAGGCCTCTGTCACTCACCCCAGCAGCACTACTGTATTCGTTTCCCACAGCTGCTGTGACAAATCACCACACACTTGGTGGCTTAAAACAACACATTTATTCCCTTTTGGTTCTGAAGGCCAAAAGTCTAAATTCAGTCTCACTGGACTTAAGTTGCGGTGTGAGCAGAGGTGGTCCCTTCTGAAGGCTCTGAGAGGAGAATCATTCCCTTGCTTTTTTCAGCTTCTAGTGACTGCCTGTCTTCCATGGCTTGTGGCCCCCTCCCCCATCTTCAAAGCACATCACACTACAATCTCCGCTTTCATTGTCACATGGCCTTCTCTCCTGATTCTGACCCTCCTGCCTCCCTCTTATAGGGACTCTAGAGTTGCATCAATAATGATGATATAGATAACACTGTATCATCTACTCATCTTAAGACCCTTAATCACATTTGCAAAGTTCCTATTTGCCATTTAATGTGCCAAAATTCAGCACTGGCCACAGGACTGGAAAAGGTCAGTTTTCATTCCATTCCCAAAGAAGGGCAATGGCAAAGAATGTACAAACTACTACACAATTGCACTCATTTCACATACTAGCAAAATAATGCTCAAAATTCTCCAAGCTAGGCTTCATCAGTACGTGAACTGAGAATTTCCAGATGTTCAAGCTGGATTTAGAAAAGGCAGAGGAACCAGAGATCAAATTGCCAACATCTGCTGGATCATAGGAAAAGCAAGAGAATTCCAGAAAAACATCTATTTCTGCTTCATTGGTAATGCTAAAGTCTTTGACTGTGTGATTCACAACAAACTGTGGAAAATTCTGAAAGAGATGGGAATACGAGACTACCTAACCTGCCTCTTAAGAAATCTGTATGCAGGTCAGGAAGCAACAGTTAGAACTGGACATGGAACAAAAGACCAGTTCCAAATCGGGAAAGGAGTACATCAAGGCTGTATAGTGTCACCATGACTATTTAACTTACATGCAGAGTACATCATGAAAAATGCTGGACTGGATGAAGCACAAGCTGGAATCAAGACTGTGGGAGAAATATCAATAACCTCAGCTATGCAGATGGCACCACCCTTGTGGCAGAAAGTGAAGAAGAACTAAAGAGCCTCTTGATGAAAGTGAAAGAGGAGAGTGAAAAAGCTGGCTTAAAACTCAACATTTAAAAAATAAAGATCATGGCACCTAATCTATCACTTCACGGCAAACAGATGGGAAACAAAGGAAACAGTGACAGACCTGATTTTCTTAGGTTCCAAAAACACCGCAGACGGTGACTGCAGCCATGAAATTAAAAGAAGCTTGCTCCTTGGAAGAAAAGCTACAACAAAACTAGACAGCGTATTAAAAAGCAGAGACATTACTTGCTGACAAAGGTCTGTATAGAAAAAGTTATGATTTTTCCAGTAGTTATGTATGGATGTGAGAGCTGGACCATAAAGAAGCTGATGGCAAAGAATTGATGCTTTCAAACTGTGGTGTTGGAGAAGACTCTTCAGAGTCCCTACAACTGTAAGGAGGTCAAACCAGTCAATCCTAAAGGAAACCAATCCTGAATATTCACTGGAAGGACTGATACTAAAACTGAAGTTTCAATACTTTGGCACCTGAAGCGGGGAACTGACTCATTGGAAAAGACCCTGATGCAGGGAAAGATTGAAGGCAGGAGAAGGGGACGACAGAGGATGAGATGGTTGAATGACATCACCGACTCAATGGACATGAGTTTGAGCAAGCTCTGGGAGATGGTGAAGAACAGGGAAGCCTGGCGTGCTGCAGTCCATGGGGTCACAAAGAGCTGGAATGGTTGAGTAATGGAACAACAACAATGCCATAACATATTCACAGGAATTAGAACATGGTGATATTTGCAGGAACCATTAATCAGCCTGCTGCAACCATGTACCTTTCCTTTAAAGCATGTATCACCATTTAGTAATAACATAGCATGCACTCATTTAAGTGATTATTCCATTGTTGCTGCTACTGCTAAGTCGCTTCAGTCGTGTCCAATTCTGTGCAACCCCATAGACGGCAGCCCACCAGGCTCCCCCCTCCCTGGGATTCTCCAGGCAAGAACAATGGAGTGGGTTGCCATTTCCTTCTCCTGATTATTCCATTAACAATCATCAACTCCCTAGACTATCAGCTCCACAAGGGCAAGAACAAAGCCTGTTCTTCAGATTCTCAGCACCCAGGCCATGTTCATCTAGGCCCAGAAATATTTATTGGATGAATAGATGGATTATTATCCAGTCACTAAAAACAATAATTAGGAAGGTAAAGTGGTAACAGGCTACAAGGAAATTTTCCCTGTGAACTTCCATTATGGTTTTCACTTTGTACAATAAATAAAAATCAAAAGGGAAAAAACTATAGTAAAAAGAACATCAACCCAAACAGATTTTTCTAGGTTGATTACTCACTTAGTATCCAAAAGCTGAAGTTGGTGGTTACTATCTCTGTGGGACATCTTCAGTTTGGTGCTTTGCTCTGATATTGACAAGTCCACTCTGTTTAAAAGCTGAGAGATCTGGAAAAGAAACTTCGCTTGTAAATACCACCTCAAACCTTTTCAGAGGTAATTTCAGAAAACATTAGTGACGTGTATTCTCATCCATGGCATTAAATTCAATCTAATGTGAAAAATTCATTTAGGAGTCCACCTAATCTCACCACTTCCATTTCTTTATACAAACCCATCAAAAATCAAGACCAGGGGAGTTCCCTGGTGGCCTAGTGGTTAAGATTCTGGGCTTTCACTGCTGTGGCTCAGGTTCAATCTTTGGTCAGGGAACTGAGATCCAAACAAGCTGCAGGGCACAGCCAAAAAAAAAAAAAAAAAAAATCAAGACCAGAAGCACTGCCAAACTATTCACCATGCAGTGAGCACTCAACTACAGGCCTCTGTTGAGCAAGCCCAGCTCCTGCCTAGGACCAATACTTCCACCTGCTGGCACAAAATAGAAGTCATTTTTACCTTGGAATTTCTATCATTAGTGTGGCTACTAGTCATAGAGGATGGAATTCTTATCACTTACAAAACCCATTAGGTCTCAGATTTACCTCCAGATGCAGGCTAAGTTATCAGGAAACATAATTTTTCGGCTTCCCAGGTGGGGCTAGTGGTAAAGAACCCACCTGCCAATGTTGCTGGCATTGGCATGTAAGAGATGCAGGTTCAATCCCTGAGTTGGAAAGATCCCCTGGAGGAGGGCACGGCAAACCACTCCAACATTCTTGCCTGCAGAATCCCCATGGACAGAGAAGCCTGGTGGGCTACAGTCCATGGGGTTGCAAAAAGTCAGACATGATTGAGTGACTAACACTTTTTTTCTTTTTCTTTTTCTTCATTCTAATAAAAGGGGGTACGTAGTCAATTTATTGGGTTAGACATATTTGTGTCCTAGCTGCCTCCAATAAGGATCCAAAGCTGTTTCTGTAAAAAAATTAATTATTATAAAACTATGAAGCGGAATTCTCCAGGCAAGAATACTAGAGTGGTTTCTCTTCAAATGAAGAACAGCAAGTAAAACAGACATTGTAGAGAAAGTCCTAGAAGACAGGCCCCATTATGGCAAAGGAAAACTTCTAAGTAGCCAAAAACAAACTGTGAAATGCCAAGAGTTTTGCTTTAAGAAATTAACCTGTGAATTGCAAGGTGGAATACTCTGAAATTTATTAACTAGCCAATCCTCTAGCTTTGTTCTAATCTTTCCCCGTATACAAACTATGCGATGAGGCAGCCCATAAATCCTATGAATAAACTATTTCCTGAATCCAAAATTGGGATTAGTGGCCTGTAAAAGCCTGTAAAACAACACTTCTATTACTTACCTGTCTAAGACATGGTTTTGGAGATATAAGTTAGAATTTCTGGAACATATTGTTTGAAGAATAAGGGAAAAGAATACTTAAAATTAGGAGTGTACTGACAAATCTTGGCATTTTGGTTGCATTCTTACAAAGGGCCACTCCAGTGAAATAGAAGGAGGAAGAAGAAGAGGGATGCTTATGCTGAGTGCCCTGACTAGTTTCTCCTGCAGGAAATCATTAAACCCATGTTATTCTTAGATAAGAACAAATACCCACTTTCAAAAAGCTACCTAAAAAAAAAAAGCTACCTGAAACAGGTCATACCTGTCCCTCTGCGTCTTTGATTTTTGTTTCCAAGATAAGTTTGGCAGCTTGCTGCTCTTTGTTCAAGTGCTGGAGGCCCTCATAGGTCGTTTTGTGCTCGGCAGAGAGTCTGGCTATGCTGGCGTCACATCTATCCAGATAAACAACAAAGGAAATTCTTATCAAAGTTTTAAAACATGTGTTGAAGCTTCCTTGCATACTATAAAGTGTATGACCCCACTCAGAGAAACTACACTATGAATCATCCCTTTTAACAGAGATTTGGATGAATTCAGAGAGCTGCTCACATTATGGTTTTTAAGTTAAACCACAGGGATGTTGCTCAATAAGACTAGAGATGTAACCACTAACACAACAAAGGCTTTACGATGCTCATCAGTACAAAATTGAATATGCAGTGAAAGCCCAGTAACAAAAAGCTTACAGAGTGAGCCAGATGTGGTCTGTCACTCTATAATGCCACCTCCACCTCTCAAGTTGGGGGTCTCTGGATTTTGGAGGCAACTTCTACCACATCTGAAAGTACTATTCCCATTTTACCAAACCACCTATAAGGCTGTGTGCTTTGAGTGTGCTCCAGAGCACGGGAAAGTTCTGCAGCTGGTCCCAGGTGCTCTGCCCTTGAGCCTTATGACTTGGCAGTTCTAAAGGTATGCAAGGTATCTGTGGTAGATAATCTAGACTATGAAGCCTCCGTCAAAGCCTAATAGGGGAGTCACAGAATGACCTCCTAGGAATTGAGAGCAAAGTCATGTCCTGTTCCGACACAATCACTCCTGCTTTGAGAAAGACCTGCCAGCTTGCTACTGGGCTCCAGCAGACACGACACGCCTAAGCAGGGGTCGCTGGGGGACCAGGCAATCTGGGCAGCCCATTACGAACACCAAGCCACAGACGTGGGCACATGGGCAGGACGCCATCTTGGAGGGGAAGGGATATGTAGACGTCAAGCCTAATGGTCCTAAAGGCAGAAGTAAATTACACGAGCCTGGACTCCTGTGGCTTCTGTTCTTACTCCTGCCAGCTTTCCTTCAACTCACATGTATGGCCTCGGACCAAATGACCTTAAAATACATATATGTTAGGTACTCAAAAATGAAAGATAGATTAACATCCATCAAGAGAACTCTATTTTTTTAAGTAGAGATAAAAAAAGAACAAGGGGTTCAGAGAAAAAAATTAGAAATCCTAAAAATAAGCTAAAATTTTCTTAGTAGACCTGACAAACTCTAGACTAAACATGATTGAAGATAAAATCAGCGAATTATAAGAAAGTAGCAAGCAGCCTGCTCAGAATGCACCAAAGCCAGACAGAGATGCAAAACATGAAAAAATAGTGAAGAAAGATAGAGGAAAAGCAAAGAGATGTTAAGATAAGTCAAACGGAGGTTGAAGAATTTCAAAAGAAAAAATGGAGAGAATGGCAAAGAAGCAATATTTCAGGTGTGAGTGCTGTAGATTTTCTAGGACTGAAGAAAGACATGAGTTTTAAAGTAGTCAATGAATACCAAGTGGCATAAGTAAAACTAAACAGACTATGGTGAAATTCATATAACCCAAGATAAAGGTAAAATCTTAAAAGATACCAAAGACAAAATGATTTTTTTGACTGACTATAAGATTGACAGCACACAATAGACACCAGAAGACAATAAATATCAGAAGATACTGGAGAAACAGCTTCTAAGGATTGAGGGGAACAAATCTATCATCCAAGAATAAGTGCAAAATAAAGATGTTTCAGACACACAAAGATTAAGAAATGTATCGCCCACACACTCATATTGAAAAAGTCATTAAGTAATGTACTTCAGGAAGAAGAAAAGAACACCCAGAGAGAAGGAGTAGGATGCAAGAAACAACAAACTGAGAAAATTTCTGGAAAATTTAATTTTTTGTAGACTCTGAAAAAAGTAAGCTACCAGCTCAATTACTTCAAACTTGTTGAGATTTTACTTGGTAATGACTCACACTTTCTCTAAGCTGAACAGCCTGTTTAGCGTGATCATTTGACTAAAATGCTATAATCCTCTTTGGAAATAACAGAAAACGTATTAGGATAAAAAATTTTTAATATTGATGAAAATATTTTTAATATTTTGAAATACAATCTGAAAAACTGCATATATACATGTGTAAATTTCAATATTCATAATAAAATAGACACAAAGCAGCAATCATGTCACTATCCATCTATACTGGAAATATTTTTAACATTTACTGCCTGACATTGGAGTTTGTAGAATTAAGCTACATCACAGATTGCAGGTGGAATAGTGAATTTTACAAGCTTTCTTGAGGGCAACTTGGCAGTATATACTCCAAATCTTGAAACATGAATATATTTCAATGTACCTTGTAATCTAGGTATTAACCCCAAAGAAACAAAAGTGTGAGCAAAGAAAAATCAAACTAAATTCTGTATAAACTCCTTGTACAATTCCCTGCTATTCTAGGATAAAACCAAAATCCTTTAAAATGCTTAGAACGAGTTGGTCGCAAGCCACCTACCTCTCTGCATCATCTTATATATTCTGTCCCTTTTTCCCTCTGTACTCAGCCACACCATTACACTGCAGGCCTTTGAACTTACTTCACTCCTTCCCCACTTTAAGGCCTTGACCCAGGCTGTTCTCTCTGGATGAAGTCTTCTTCCTTGACCTTGTCACCTGACTAGGTACTATACATCCCTCAAGCTAAGCACAATAGTCACTTCCTTACGGAACCATTCCTGGAGATCAGGTATAGCAATTAAACACTTTCCGGATACCCCACATTTTTCTTTTGCTGAACTTCTTATAATTAAAATTTATTACTATTACTACCACTATTATTATCATTTTCTACTTGCTGTTGTTGTCCAGTCATTCAGTTGTGTCTGCCTTTTTGCAACCCCATGGATTGCACCATGCCAGGCTTCCCTGTCCTCCACCAACTCCCAGAGCTTGCTCAAACTCATGTCCATTGAGTCCGTGATGCCATCCAACCATCTTATCCTCTGTCATCCCCTTCTCCTCCTGCCTTCAATCTTTTCCAGCATCAGTCTTTTCTAACAAGTCGGCTCTTCGCATCAGGAGGCCAAAGTATTGGAGTTTCAGCTTAAGCATCAGTCCTACCAATGAATATTCAGAACTGACTTCCTTTAGGATTGACTGGTTTGATCTCCTTGCAGTTCAATGGACTCTCAAGAGTCTTCTCCAACACCACAGTTCAAAAACATCAATTCTTCAGTGCTCAGATTTCTTTATGGTCCAACTCTCACATCCATACATGACTACTGGAAAAAACATAGCTTTGACAAGATAGACTTTCGTCAGCAAAGTAATGTCTCTGCTTTTTAATATGTTGTCTAGGTTGGTCACAGCTTTTCTCCCAAGAAGCAAGTGTCTTTTAATTTCATGGCTGCAGTCACCACTTGTGGTGATTTTGGAGCCCAAGAAAATCAAGTCTATCACTGTTTCCTTTGTTTCCCCATCTATTTGCCATGAAGTGATGGGATCAGATGCCATGATCTTTGTTTTTAAAATGTTAAGTTTTAAGCCAGCTTGTTCACTCTCCTCTTTCACCTTCATCAAGAGGCTTTTTAGTTCCTATTCGCTTTCTACCATGAGGGCGGTGTCATCTGCATATCTAAGGTTATTTATATTTCTCCCAGCAATCTTGATTCCAGCTTGTGCTTCATCCAGCCCAGCATTTCCCATGATGTACTCTGCGTATAAGTTAAAGAAGCAGGGTGACAATATACAGCCTTGATGTATTCCTTTCCCAACTTGGAACCAGTCCATTGTTCCATGTCTGGTTCTAACTGTTGCTTCTTGACCTGTATACAGGTTTCACAGGAGGCAGGTAAGGTCGTCTGGTATTCCCATCTCTTAAAGAATTACTATATTATCATTTATCTCTAATTCCTGTTTCATGACATGCACTCATCATTGGCCCATGTATGGCTCACTTTCAGTTCAGTTAAGTTGCTCAGCTGTGTCCAACTCTGCAACCCCATGGACTGCAACATATCAGACCTCCCTGTCCATCAACTCCCGGAGTTTACTCAAACTCATGTCCATTGAGTCGGTGATGCCATCCAACCATCTCATCCTCTGTCGTCCCCTTCTCATCCTGCCCTCAATGTTTCCCAGCATCAGGGTCTTTTCAAATGAGTCAGTTCTTTGCATGAGGTGGCCAAAGTATTGTAGTTTCAGCTTTAACATCAGTCCTTCCAATGAATACTTAGGACTGATTTCCTTTAGGATGGACTGGTTAGATCTCCTTGCAGTCCAAGGGACTCTCAAGAGTCTTCTCCAACACCACAGTTCAAAAGCATCAGTTCTTCAGCACTCAGCTTTCTTTATAGTCCAACTCTCACATCCATACATGACTACTAGAAAAACCATAGCTTTGACTAGACAGACCTTTGTTGGCAAAGTAATGTCTCTGATTTTTAAGATGCTGTCTAGGTTGGTCATAACTTTTCTTCCAAGGAGCAAGCATGTTTCAATTTCATGGCCACAATCACCATCTGCAGCTCACTTTATTCATGGCTCACTTTATTCAGTTAATTATTTTTAAATAACTGCTCCTATTTTAAATCCTGTATCATCATTCCCTTGTTCTCCTTTTAAGACTGTATTGCACACACATATACATGTCTATGTATCAATATATATACACATATATATTTCTTAAAAGTATGTGTATGTATGTATTAGTTGAATTCAACTGTTACAAAAGCCCTTATGTCATATGTAATATTTTGATACTTATTGTTTTCACTTATTGCTAAGCTTCAACTATATTATTAAACACTACAGTAGTTACTCATTTTAACTACAAAATAACATTCTATTGTTTGTTACAATTTATTTTCCAAACTTCCACTAATAGGCACTTTGGGTTATTGCAAGACTGCTATTTTGAACAATGCTGCTATGAACATACCCTCCTGGGGTACAAGTTCAACAATTTATCTTGGGCACAAACTGATGGATCTCAAAGTATGAGGATGTTCAGCACTGAGAGGTAATATCAGACCTCACTAGTTTATACTCTCACTAACAATAGGTAAGAGATCTTGGGCACCTACACCCTCTCTAATGCTTGGCATTTTCAGATATTTTAGATACCAATCTACTG